TCATGGAGATTTGAGGATTGTTTCTTACTGAAGTGCATCCTGATTGGATGTGAGCCTTGCTAAGGAAGTCAGACCACACCTTATTGGCCACTCTGATGTACTAAAGGGGTTTTTGTTGGTTTGTTTTGTCAGTGCAGAGAGCAGGCTTTGGCCAAAGGAGGCCTGAACTTTTCATGTTCTAGATGTCTACTTCTAACACTTCTAAATTAAAGTCATGGTTTGCTTGGTGGTGATGGCACAGTTCTGTATCTTGAATGTGGTGATGGTTATATGAATCCATACAGAGGATAAAATGTCAGAGAATTACGCACAAAAGTACAGCAAACAAAAGAAGATAAACGCATCTCAACTTGTATTGGTTTGTTCTCACACTGCTATATAAACATACCTGAGAATGTGTGATTTATCAAGAAAACAGTTTTAATTGGCTTACGGTTCTGTGGGCTGTACAGGCTTCTGCTTCTAGGCAGGCCTCAGGAAGCTTCCGATCATAGCAGGAGAAGGGGAATCAGGTACATCTTACTTAGTGGGAGCGGGAGGAAGAGAGAGGAGAGGTGCTACACTGTCTTTAAAAAGCAGATTTCAGCTGGGCGTGGTACCTCATGCCTGTAATTCTAGCACTTTGGGAGATCTAGGTGGGCGGATCACAAGGTCAAGAGATCGAGACCATTCTAGCTAACATGGTGAAACCCCATCTCTATTAAAAATACAAAAATTAGCTGGGTGTGGTGGCGCATGCCTGTAGTCTCAGCTACTCAGGAGGCTGAGGCAGGAGAATCGCTTGAACCCGGGAGGTGGAGGTTGCAGTGAGCCGAGATTACACCACTGCACTACAACCTGGCTACAGAGCGAGACTCCATCTCAAAAAAATAAAAATAATAATAATAAAAAAGGCGCCCTCAGGCCACCTCTATCAGAAGACAGCACTAGGGGGATGGTGCTAAATCGTTTTTAACCAGCTCCATGATCCAGTCACCTCCCATCAGGCCCCACCTCTAATACTGGGGATTACAATTTAATGTAAGATTTGGGTAGGGACACAGAGCCAAACCACAGCAGGTGACATCCCAGTAATGACTATGGTCTAGCGAACTGTGTCGTGCTGATGTTGATCTCAAGGTTTTGCTAATGCACCGTCTGTATGTAGGATGTATTTTTGATGAAAGCTGGATGATGGGGATAGGTGTGTTCTGTATACCTGTTTGGCCATGTTTTGTGAAGCTCTAATTAGTTTCAAATAAAAGTTAACAACAAAAATAACATGAGTTAAACCAAGAAAGTGAACTGTGGTCAGTTGCAGATTCACTGCCAGACCTGGCAGGAAATCTCACCTTGGTGGATCACATGTGTTATCTTTACCTAACAATCAGCACTTCACCCTTCAAAAATGGGTTCTGTTTGCAATCTGTCAGCCATTACCTTCTTACATAGAGTGTGTCCCGCTACAAACAGTTCTGTAAAGCTACTAAGTTAGACAGTCGAAAGTGCAAACCCCCTAACACACATGTAAACACATAAACACACCCTAATTTAAAAGCTACATTTTCCATCCCCTGGACTTCCTGTTCTGCCTCCGGTTTCTCTCCGTTTCTCAGGATTGGGAGCAGAAACGGGAAACCTGATACCTAGGGCAAGAGAATTACCTGAATAATAGCATGTGGACTTGAGTCACTATCCCCAGGAGCCTAGTAACCCACAGCTTGTGGATAAGTCTGTTGAACTGCTTGATGGCTTGTGACCCCTTTTTCCCTTAGAGGTATGTGTTCTGATTTGGTTCGTACTGGTAGTGGCAGCTCTGTGCTTTATTTTGAAGGGAATGGGGGAGAAAACTGACCAGTTGTAAGTTACTCATATAGAAGAATGTATGCGCTGTGCTATCATTTTTGTTGAAATATTGCTTTGGGGGTCACCATCTGGGAATGTACTTCCTGTTTTATGGAGGAAATGGACGTGCATTTTTATATGTAGCTTGCATATCCCTTGGGGTTTCCACTGGGGTCTTCGCTGAACAGAACAGTTTCTTTACCACCCCCTCTGCAATGCAATGAATGGCCGCCTTTCCCCTTGCGATACATTCACATTTCTGTAAGACTCTGCACTGTGGCAGTGAGTGTCATGCTCCGAGTAAAAGGAGGTAGGGAGCAGAGGACTTGGAATGAAGATGAAAAGTCACTTTGTTTGCTGACTCTGAATGCCGAGTTAAGTAGTTGTGTTGATGAGGCATCAGTATCTCTGGGGCATTGACACATAGTCCACATGGAAAAGATTTTTAATCCTTGAATAAGTATCAGTTACTCAGCTTGTGGGGTTCTGCCCCTCATCTGGAGGTCTTCACCTTGCACACAGTGTGACTTCACTCAAGTGCCTTTACTGTTAGTGGTGGCAGTCTCCTTCCTTATAGAGGAAGAGACTCACTTTGGCAGATTAAGTCTCTTGTCCTCACCTAACAGTCGGCTGTTCACCCCTCAAAAATGGGTTCCATCTGCAATGTTAGTCATTACCTACTTGGAGTAAACTTGGCGTGACCTAAAGCATTTTTAGGAAAAAATGGTTAGATTTACTTCAGTATAAATTACCTTTTGAAAACCAAATTTTAAAAGCCACAAGTGTTGATCGTTTTAAAATAACATGCTGCCATTCTTGATTGCTAGAGCTTTTGTTAGTACTTTGGATGCAATTAAAACTATGTGCTATCACATGGGAGAAGCTTAATAAATTCTGCCTATCACTAAAAAAAAAAAATAATAATAATATAGGCCGGGTACGGTGGCTTACGCCTGTAATACCAGCACTTTGGGAGGCTGAGGCGGGTGGATCACAAGGTCAGGAGATCGAGGCCACTCCTGGCCAAGATGGTGAAACCCTGTCTCTACTAAAAATACAAAAAAATTAGCTGGGTGTGGTGGCACACACCCGTGGTCCCAGCTACTTGGGAGGCTGGGGCAGAAGAATCTCTTGAATCTGGGAGGTGGAGGTTGCAGTGAGCCGAGATTGCGCCACTGCACTCAAGCCTGGCGATAGAGCAAGACTCAGTCTCAAAAATAATAATAATAATAATATAAATAAGAAGGAGTGATGTGGCCTCACCTTATAGCATACCCTTCAGCTCTATTATTTTCTGAACTTGGGAAACGAACAACCCACATGTTGGCATTTTCTCCTTTTCCTAGGTAACGTTCATGTTTCTCCTCCTTCCAAAATCTGCACGTTGGGGCATCTGCCACTGTTACCCAAGACCAGGAATTTAAATCTCTGTTGGCCAGTTTGCCTCTGCCACGGATGTGCTGTTGGGGTTTAAGCTGGGCTTTGTTAGCAGACATGACTTGGATTCTTTAGGACCCATCCCTTAATAATCTGGTCTGATGTGGCCTTCAGGGAGCATCTTTGGACATGATTGCCATCCCTTTATCCGCTGTGCTGGCCTGTGACCCACACTGAACACCATTTATTGTCAGGTGGCATCGGGGCAAGACTTGGACACAAGAGACAGCTTCTCTGCTAGTTAGGTTAATGAAATACCTTCTCTTCCAGACAGGATGTTAGGTGCTTATGAACCTGTATCCTTAAAACCTATGAGTAGATCACTAATACTCAGTTTTTACAGATTAGGAAACTGAGGCTCGGCACTGTTAAACGGTCTAGAGTGGGTGTGCTTCCTAGCCGTCACTGCCTGATGTTTAGTGCTCAAAGCTTAGGCCTTGGATTAGAGCCCAGGACTTGGCGGCCAAGATGAACCAGCTGCAGATAACACTGAACATCTCAGCCCAGCTCCTGTCCTTTCCATCCCTGAACAGGACACTCAGAGTAGAGGCTGTTCCCGACAGTGCCATTTGCATCCCCCTTCATTGCCTTAGAGATATCATGTTATTCTCCTTAATCTTACTTAAGCATCACAGTCTAGACTAGAATTCCCAAGTCAACAGTTAGTTTTACGGGACTCTTCTTATTTGAATAGGCAAGTGGCCCTGTGTTCTTGGCTTCTTGTCCTTTTGAGGAGCTAGGTCTAAGAAGTGATAGTATTTAACCTCACACGCCGAAGTGCACCCCGATTGATAAAAGTTTGGAGTGGCCCATACACATTAGACAGGTGGGAGGGGCAACATGGAGACCTGTCCTTCTAGAATGATACCATAAAGAACGTGGCCAGTGGAACGCAACTGCTTCATATGCTTTCCTCTCCAGTCCTCCTGGCTTTTTGCCAGGAGGGAAGTTAGGCTTCTGCACCAGATTGACCTGGGGGTCATTTCTTGCCCCCTGTTTCTTACCTCTGTGATCTCTTGTAAGACGCTGCATTGTCAAATGGGGAAAACACTGTGTTTGAGTTGTTATGAGCCATAAGTGGGACGGTATGCAAATGCCCAGCCCGTGGTTGGCTCTCCATACCCAGTAGCCGTTATGACCATTATTATTCCTATCATCAGCATGTGCTCCTCCTGTTTAGAGAGTTGTCTGGGTTTACTAAGCCAGGGTTCTCTTTGGGCTCTAGGTCCGTCAGAGTCCGTTGGCGTAAGCGAGTGTTTCTGCTTTTGTACTTGCTGTAAAGGAGTTGGCTTTGATTCTCGATGCAGGTTTGGTGGAGTTACTTCAGAACCTGGATGGCAGCTTTTGGAATTAGGATACTGTCCACTGCATCTTTGCATCATCCAGGACCTGTTGTGTGTTTCCCTCTCCTTACAGCTTTTTAGGATGCAGATCGAGAGGAGATAACGTTAGCCTGAAGCCCCTTTGCAGCCTCTTTTGTGCGGTTGAGTGAAACACGGCACAACCCCCATCCCTATCCCCCACCTTGTAGGTTTAGCAGAATCCCAGCCTCACATCCTCCCAGAACTTGGCAGTAAAAGCCCTGTTCTTCCATTCATTCCGATGATTTATATTCTCTCTGGGTGTCTAATATTAAACAGGGGAATTCCGACATGTTCCATAACACATTTGCTGTAACTTGAAACCATGAACTAAACTTGCTGTTATTTATCATCTCTCTTTATTTTCTCTCATTCCAGCATAAAGCCAAGGTAGAAGCAATGACCCTGGACCTTGCTCTGCTCCGTAGCGTGCAGCATTTTGCTGAGGCGTTCAAGGCCAAGAATGTGTGAGTGTTCCAGCGGAGGGTTGTAGATCATCATTTCTTGCTATTGTAATGTCTTTATCAGATGAACACAACTGGGAGAACGCAAGGCTGTTGTGTTGGCTTGGCGTCCAAACCAGAGGCTCATTTATATTGGCCCTGTTAGGGTGAACCGTATTTTCTTGACTCACAGTCGCCCTCATTATGAGATGTGTCATCAATCTAATAACAGCTTCCCAGATACAAAAAGAAAAGACGCTGTTAAAGCGCTGGTAAAAGTGGCTAATAAAAACCAGGCAGTGGTAAGATGCATCCAGATGATAAGGTTTTTGCAGTACATGTCAGAATTGAGGAAAAGTATATCTTAATTGCGTTCAGTAACAAGTAAACTCAGTTATCTAGTATGGGTGGGATGTTGAGAATCCAAGCACCAGAGACCTACAGTTTCCAAAGCCCTTGATGATGTGATGTGGTACATGGATGTGGTTCCAAAAACAGGACTCACATTCCTTTTTTTTTTTTTCAGTCTTTCGAAATTCCAGTTGGAGAAAGCCTCAGATGGGGGGTAGCATATTTTGATGTTTTCACATCTAGCATTTCTTTCTAACAGAGAAAATTGTAGGAGAGAGTGGGGAGAAGTGGAGAGGGGGGTGAGAGAGAGAGGGAGAGAGAGAGAAACCACAAGCAGATGGGCGTCCTCAAACCCTGAAACCCTGAGCAAAGGAGAGCGATCATGGCAAGCTACAGTAATTACAATACTTAGTTTCTAAGTGTTTATTTTTACTCATATTTAGGGCAAGCAATCCTGGTTTCCCGTTGAACATAGAGGTTTGGATTTCGTTAATAAATAAATTGATTTGATTTTTTTCAGTGACTTGATTGAAACCCAAGGATTAAGTTAATAATAGCACAGGTGGTGCCAAGGATAAGATAATTACACAAGAGGCACCGGAACCACTGAATGTGGAAAACTCTCATAAATGACAAGCTGCCTTTGGGTTAGGCTCTGTGGGAACATTAGTTCTTCGGTGTTGCAAGCAGATGAGGGATGTGAGGGAAGGAATCTTAGACTACGTATTCACATGGCCCTGTGGGGAGCTGACCCCACAATGCTGTCTCCTATCCAGTTCTTCTTGTATCCCCTTGAATTTCTCACTCTACTTTTTTTTTTTTTTTTTTGAGACGGAGTTTCGATCTTGTTACCCAGGCTGGAGTGCAATGGCGCGATCTCGGCTCACTGCAGCCTCTGCCTCCTGGGTTCAGGCAATTCTCCTGCCTCAGCCTCCCGAGTAGCTGAGATTATAGGCACGCGCCACCATGCCCAGCTAATTTTTTGTATCTTTAGTAGTGACGGGGTTTCACCATTTTGACCAGGATGGTCTCGATCTCATGACCTCGTGATCCACCCGCCTCGGCCTCCCAAAGTGCTGGGATTACAGGCTTGAGCCACCAGGCCCGGCCTACTTTTGTTTTATTTCAAGGTAGAGTCTTTCTCTGTCACCCAGGCTGGATGGAGTGCAGTGGTGCAATCTCGGCTTACTGCAAACTTTGCCTAGTGGGCTCAAGCGATTCTCCTGTCCTGGCCTCCTGAGTAGCTGTGAATAAAAGTGCCCACCATTTATGCCTGGCTAATTTTTGTATTTTTAATAGAGCTGGGGTTCCATATTGGTCAGGCTGGTTTTGAACTCCTGACCTCTGGTGATCCATCCGCCTCCACCTCCCTAAGTGCTGCTGGGATTATAGACGTGAGCCACTGTACCCGGTCACTCTACTTTATTATACTTAAAAAGTTTGCTCTTGGCCGGGCATGGTGGCTCATGCCTGTAATCCCAGAACTTGGAGAGGCGGAGGCAGGCAGATGACCTGAGGTCAGGAGTTCGAGTCCAGCCTGGGTGACATGGTGAAACCCCATCTCTACTAAAAATATAAAAATTAGCTAGGCGTGGTGGCACATGCCAATAATCCCAGCTACTTGGGAGGCTGAGGCAGGAGAATCACTTGAACCTAGGAGGTTGCAGTGAGCTGAGGCTGAACCATTGCACTCCAGCCTGGATGACAAGAGCAAAACTCTATTTAAAAAAAAAAAGCTGACTCTCAAAGGTTCTTGCTGGAGTAAGCAAGTGTCCCGAGTCCTTGAGGTCTGCCATTGAGTCCGAGTCTTAGTGAGAGTTGCACCATCCCCTCAGTGCACACCCCAGGCTCACTTGTAGGAACAGTGAGACAACATCCCCCAGCTAGCCAGATCTGAGAGGGCCTGCCTGTGTTGTCCTTTGCTGTGCTGGGCTGTTAGTAGCTGCTGTTCCTCACCAGATCTGTCAGGGCATTTCAAGTCAGGCTACACCTAGCATCCAAGACCTATGTTCCCTAATGCCTTCATCATTCATTTATCCCCCTGTTCCTTCACTTCACACATGTTTCATGAGCCCTTCTAAAGCCCCAGGCATTCTTCTGGGCTCTGTGAAGAGAGTGGTAGCCCTGGAAGCCACAGTAACCTCACACAAGCTTTCCCCTGAGTTGTCAGCAATTATAGATGGCCGACTCCTGAAGCTCATCTGTCTGTGGTTGTTTAGGAGGGAATAATAATGACCAGAATGACAGCAGAGGTAGGAGCTCATTTATTAAGGGCTTGTGATGGGTCATACATGGAAAATACCTTGCATGTATCTTCTGTTTCAATTCTCAAAGCAATCCTTTGGAGTAGATGCTGTTATATCTCTACTATACCGATCAGCATAGTGAGTCTAGGGAGGATACATAATTTATCCAAGGCATGTGGGATCTACAAAGAGGGGCTGCTTTAGCCTCTCCAGGGCTTCAACTTGACCACCATACTATACTGTCTTTCATTTTATTTTATTATTTCATTTTATTTATTTATTTTTTGAGACAGGGTCTTGCTCCGTTGCCGAGGGTGGAGTGCAATGGTATGATCTTGGCTCACTGCAGCCTCTGACCCCCCCGGGTCCAAGTGATTCTCATGCCTCAACCTCCAAAATAGCTGGGGTTACAGGTGTGCGCCACCACACCCAGCTGATTTTTATATTTTTTGTAGAGATGAGGTTTCACCATGTTGGCCAGGCTGGTCTCAAACTCCTGACCTCAAGTGATTCTGCCCACCTCGGCCTCCCAAACTGCTGGAATTACAGCCATGAGCCACCGTGCCCAGCCCTGTCTTTCATTTTAAATGTGATAGAAACAGACTCAGAGAATGTGAGTTACTTTTGCAGGGTCACTTTGCAGGTTGGTGACAGGCATAGGATTGCATTCCATTCTGTCTGTTGTTCTTTCCCCGATACCATGTGAGAGCTCACATTCACCACCTCTGAATGACTTTCTCCAGTTCCTCCGTCAGAATGTGTTGGAAGCAAACAGCTTTGCTGAAGAGAGCCAACTGTTACATAACAGGATCGTCTTCCACGTTGTAACCGCACCATTTGTTTTTTAACCATTAAGTAGTTTCGAAATCATCAAATTCAAGTGCCTTTTGTAGTCACCAAGCTGAAATCCTTGGAGGAAACTCACACCCATTCTGCCCTCATCCCAGATTTTAGCACAGGACTTGGAGTTTTTAGAAAATACTTCTAGGCTGAGAAACAACGGTGATTTTCCTTTTAGAATCCTCTGTAGCACACAAACCTCTTTGTATCTGTCCCTTGAGAGTACAGGATTTTACATGACTTAGAGAAATATTGTGGTGGCGAAACTATGCATAAAAAAAGCGAGAGATTTTACTTTTGAAATGCTGCCAAAGTGAAATCTCTCATGGATAGGCAGATGACAGTTTAGTACTTACAGGTCTTTAGATTCTGAGAACTGTCAGAAGTGAATTTAAGTGCTGGTGACTCGGCTGCCAGAGAAACACATGTAACTCTATTCTTATCACCCCCATCTTCAGACATTAAAACTTCCTTGTGTGTAAAACATAACGACAAATGAAAGAAAGGCTGCCAGTTCAGAACCAATCTCCTTTTGCGCTGATGGATTGAGGAGAGGAAAAAAAAAACCCTTAAATTTAAATTCCATGTGGATGCTCTTATTTAATATACCGTTTCAAAGCCTGTATATGATCAAACCAGAGTATGATCAGGCTCTGAGTTCCTGTGTGTATTCCTTTGGTCCATGCTCCAACTCAAGTGTTTCTCCACACTGGGATAGGCAGCATATTGTGTAGTCTTAGAGCGAAAAAGGTAGAAACAGATGCTTAGTACAAACACTCGTGAGAAGAGCAGCTTGTTGTACCGTGGGACCAGCCTCCGTCTGCCTTTTGCAGGAGATGTACATCGGCCTCTTCCTGGATATCTTCTTTTTATTCTGGGTGGTGGGAGGAGAAGGTACAAAGGATGCTATTTTAGAGGAACCCCTCCTAACCATGATTACGTAAATAAGAGCTGCTAGCCAACTTTTTATTTTGTGTAAAGCAATTTGCTAAGCACTTATATGCATGTATTCTGTCTGTAATTTGTTGTAAGAATCCTAGACACTTAACCATGATTATCCCTGTTTAACCAATTAAGAGTTTGCAATGCAGAGGGCCTAAGTCACTTTCCCATCTTTAACAAGGAGGAGATCCAGAATTTGAACCCAAATCTGGCTGAATCTAAAATGATGACTCTTGTTCCTCCACTTAAGTCGTGTAATTTTCTATGTGGATTTCTGCATCGGTCATGTATTGCTGAGTAGGAAATGACTGGCCGGGCATGGTGGCTCAGGCCTGTAGTCCCAGCACTTTGGGAGGCCGAGGCAGGTGGATTGCTTGAGGCCAGTTGTTTGGGACCAGTCTGGCCAACAGTTGAAACCTCATCTGTACTAAAGATATGAAAATTAGCCCGGCGTGGTGATACACCCCTCAAGTCCCAGTTACTCAGGAGGCTAAGGCATGAGAATTGCCTGAACTCCAGTGGGGTTAGGAGGTGCAGAGGTTGCAGTGAGCCGAGATTGTGCCACTGCACTTCAGCCTGGGAACAGAGTGAGACTCTGTCTCAAACAAATTACTCCTGAATTTAGTGGGTAAAAAGCAATGTAAA